GCCGCCGCCACCTCTTCCATCGCCCGCGTGCTGCCGCCGCGCTCCTATTGGACGGAGCCACTTCCGCCGCAGCCAATGGGCGCCCGCGGCGGCGCTGTATCCAGCGGAGCGCGCGAGTGTGCGGGAACCGGCGGGGCCGAGGGTGAACTTGTGGGCGAGCCTATGGGGGAACCTATGGGCACCGGCTATAGGTACCGACCGTAGGTACCAGCTATCGGTACTGGCTATAGGTAACTGCTATAGGTACTGACTAGAGGTAACAGCTGTAGGTAACACCTATGGGTACCGGGTGTAGGTAATGGCTACGGGTACCAGCTATAGGTACTGGCTATAGGTAACAGCTATGGGTAGCAGTTGTAGGTACCAGCTATAGATACCAGCTATAGGTAATGGCCATAGGTACTGGCTATGGGTACCAGCTATAGGTACCGGCTGTAGGTAATGGCTATAGGTACTTGCTGTAGGTACCCGCTATGGGTACCAGCTGTAGGTACTGGCTGTAGGTACCAGCTGTAGGTAACAGCTGTAGGTAATGGCTGTAGGTACTGGCTGTAGGTAACAGCTATAGGTACCGGCTATGGGTTATGGCTAATGGGTATAGGTATTGGCTGTAGGTAATGGCTACAGGTAACAGCTATAGGTACCAGCCATAGGTACTGGCTATGGGTGCATCTGTGGGCACCAGCTATGGGTACTGGCTATAAGCACCAACTATAGGCACATGTATGCGTACTGTCTATAGGTATAGGTACACCTATGGGTACTGGTCATAGGCACTGGCTGTAGGTAACAGCCATAGGTACTGGCTATGGGTGCATCTATGGGTACCAGCTATAGCTAATGGCTATAAGCACCAGCTATAGATGCATCTCTGTGGGTATATCTATAGGTACCGGCCATAGGTATATCTATAGGTACCGGCTGTAGATACATCTATAGGTGCTGGCTTTAGGTACTGGCTATGGGTACCGGCTATGGGTATAGCTACAGGTGCCGCTATAGGTAACAGCTGTAGGTAATACTGTGGGTACCACTATAGGTACAGCTATAGGTTTATACATAGGTACTGCTATGGGCATTGGTACAGCTACGGGTACTGGTATAGGTACCGCCATAGGGACCGCTGTAGGTACGGCTATGGGTGCTGCAGTAGGTAAAACTATAGGTATGGCTATGGCTATAGATACCGCTGTGAGTACCTCCATAGGTGCTGCTATAGGTACATCCATTGGTATGGCTATAGGTACATCCGCAGGTACCGCTATGGGTGTCAGTATAGGTACCCGCTATAGGTACGGCTATAGGTACCGCTATGGGTACGTCCGTAGATCCCGCTATAGGTCCCGGCCCAGGGCCGAGCCCCCGCCCCCCTCGCCGCGCGCCCTACCCGGCCCAGCCAATCGCGATGCGCCGTGGCGGTCAGAGCCGCAGCTGCCATGGAGACAGCCGGGGGGCGGGGCGGCGTGGCGGGGGAAGAGACCACGCCCACACTGCGCCTCCAGCCCCGCCTACGGCGGGAGGGGTAAAGGCGGGAGGAGGCGGGGAGCCACGCCCACCGCGGGGCAATAGA